CTAGACAACAATGCAAGTGTCAAACAACGTGTCAAAAATTAGTGTATAAATAGTAATGTTCAATTGATAAGAACCTTACGGCATCTACACTATGGTGTACATTTTAGTTTACACTTTGCCACATAACATTACCCTGTTTGACATTTTAAATTTCAAATAGTTTTCCCATCCAATTAACACTTGACAACATTGCAAGTGTCAAAAATTAGTGTGCAAATAGCAAAGTTCAATCGGTAATGACCTTGCCACATGTACACTACGGTGCACACTTTAATTTACACTTTGCCAGTCGACATTACCCTATTTGACAACTTAAATTTCAAAGAGGTCTCCCATCCAATTGACACTTGACAACAATGTAAGCGTCAAACAACCTATCAAAAATCAGTTTACAAATAAAGAACAATCGGTAAGGACCTTGCTAAATGTACACTATGGTGTACACTTTATTTCACACTTTGCCACGTGACATTATCTTGTTAGCCATTATAAATTTCACACAATTTTCCCGTCCAATTACACTTGACAACAATGCAAGTTTCAAACAACATGGTAAAAATCAGTGTACCAATAGCAAAGTTCAATCGATAAGAACCTTGCTACATGTACACTTTAGTTTACACATTGTCACATGATATTACATTGCTGGATAGTTTAAATTACAAACAGTTTTCCCATCCAATTGACACATGACAACAATGCAAGTGTCAAACAATGTGTCAAAAATCGATGTACAAATATCAAAGTTCATTTGGTAAGAACCCTGGTACATGTACACTATGGTGTACACTTTAGTTTACACTTTGCCACGTGACATTACCCTGTTGGACAGGTTAAATTTCAAATAGTTTTCCCATCCAATTGACACTAGACAACAATGCAAGCATCAAACAACGTGTCAAAAATAAGTGTACAAATAGCAAAGTTCAATCGGTAAGAACATTGAGACATGTACACTATGGTGTACACTTTAGTTTACACTTTTCCATGTGTCATTATCCTGCTGGACAGTTTAAATTTCAAACAGTTTTCCCATCAAATTGACACTTGACAATAGTGCAAGCATCAAATAAAGTGTCAAAAATCAGTGTACAAAGCAAAGTTCAATCGGTAGGAACCTTTCTATGTGTACACTATGATGTACACTTTAGTTTACACTTTGCCACGTGACATTACTCTGTTGGATAGTTTAAATTTCAACCAGTTTTCCCATCCAATTGTCACTTAACAGCAATGCAAGTGCCAAACAACGTGTCGAAAATCAGGGTACAAAAAGCAAAGTTTAATTGGTAAGAACCTTGCTGCACGTACACTATAGTGTACACTTTGCCACGTGACATTACCCAGTTGGACAGTTTTAATTTTGAACAGTTTACCCATCCAATTGACCCTCAACAACAATGCAAGTGTTAAACAACATGTCAAAAATTAGTGTACAAATAGCAAAGTTCAATTGGTAAGAACCTTGCAACATGTACACTATGGTGTACACTTTAGTTTACACTTTGACACATGGCATTACACAATTCGACAGATTAAATTTCAAATAATTTTCCCATCTAGTTGACACATAACAATGCGAGTCTCAAACAACGTGTCAAAAATTAGAGTACAAATAGCAAATTTCAATCGGTAAGAACCTTGCTACATGTACACTATAGTGAACACTTCAGTTTACACTTTGCCACGTGACATTACTCTGCTAGGCTGTTTAAATTTCAAATAGTTTTTCCATCCAATTGACAATTGACAACATTGCAAGTGTCAAACAACATGTCAAAAATTAGTGTACAAATAGCAAAGTTCAATCGGTAAGAACCTTGCTACATGTATACTATGGTGTACATTTTACTTACACTTTGCCACGTGACATTGCCCTATTAGGTAGTATAAATTTCAAACAATTTTCCCATCCAATTGACACATGTCAACAATGCAAGTGTCAAACAACGTGTCAAAAATCAGAGTACAAATAGCAAAGTTCAATCGGTAAGAACCTTGCTACGTGTATGCTATGGTGTACACTTTAGTTTACACTTTTCCACGTGACATTGCCCTGTTGGACAGTTTGAATCTCAAACATTTTTCCCATCCAATTGACACTTGACAACAATCCTAGTGTGAAACAACATATCAAAACTCAGTTTACAAATAACAAAGTTCAAAGGGTAAGGACCTTGCTACATGTACACCTTGCTATCTGGGTAATAGTGGATCGTCTTACAAAGTCAGCCCACTTTCTTCCAGTCAAGATGACATTTACCAGGGAACAATATGCACAGGTTTATGTTAAAGAAATAGTCAGGTTACATGGGGTCCCCGTTTCTATTATTTCAGATAGAGACCCGAGATTCACGTCAAAATTTTGGAAAAGTCTACAAAACGCCATGGGGACAAAATTGAAATTTAGTACTGCATATCATCCACAAACTGATGGACAATCTGAAAGGACAATTCAGACACTCGAAGATATGTTAAGAGCGTGTGTACTAGATCTCGGTGGCAGCTGGGAAACACATTTGCCTTTAGTAGAGTTTGCCTATAACAATAGTTTTCAAACAACTATAGGCATGGCACCTTATGAGGCATTATATGGTAGGAAGTGCAGATCACCTATCTATTGGGATGAGGTTGGAGAAAGAAGAATCCTAGGACCCGAGATTATTGATCAAACAGTACGAGCTGTGGATAAGATTCGAGACAGAATTAAGGCTGCTCAGGATAGACAGAAAAGCTATGCTGATAGAAGGAGAAGAGATCTTGAGTTCCAAATCGGTGACAAAGTATTTTTAAAAGTAGCTCCAATGAAGGGAGTACTTAGATTTGGAAAGAAAGGAAAATTGAGACCAAGATTCATTGGACCATTTGATGTATTAGAAAGAATTGGAGATGTGGCATATAGACTGGCACTGCCACCAGAAGTTTCAGCAGTACATAATGTTTTTCACGCATCAATGTTGCGCAAATACTTACAGGACCCTAGTCATGTGATCAACCATCAAAATTTAGATGTACAACAGGATTTAACCTATGAAGAAATGCCACTGAGGATACTAGAAAGAAAGATTCATGTACTAAGAAACAGGGAAATTCCTTTAATCAAGGTCTTATGGCGCAATCATGGAATGGAAGAAGCAACTTGGGAAAAAGAAGTAGAGATGAAAATCAAGTATCCTGAGCTTTTCAACTAACTTAAGGTAAATTTCGAGGACGAAATTATTTTAAGGAGGGTAGGTTGTAAAATCCCAAATTTTTACTTAGCATTAATTTATTTAATAGGAATGCAATGTT